ACAGAGGATTCAACTTATGACTATTCCTAGTCATAACGCAAACTCAAAAGTTTATGGATTTGGTTTGTTCCTAAAACAGTGCTTCTAAGAAAGCAAAATAGGAAGTACAATGTAAAGCAGATAACAAGATTACAACTCAACTATGGATATACATAAGACTTCGTTTAGAAACTGATCCTTAGTGGAGTTGTCTGCTTGTTCTTGACACACCGGTGATTTCAATGCTGGATGGATGCTTCTTCTTCTTCTTGAGACAGTATCACTGAAACTCACAAGAACTGGTGTGTCTTGCACCAGGTTGTTTTATCACAAAAGATACACAATTAGATAGTGGTGTCAACTCTTGGTGTACTTCTTGTTAGTGGGAAGTGACTGCTGCACTGTCTGCACATCCACTTCTGGGCAGGTGCGTTCCAGCTGGATTTTGTGCTTCTGTCAGGACATACAAATGAACCAGGTTTAGGACATGTCAATGGACCAGGTCCTAGTTGTGTTCCTCTTCTGTAACAGTTGCTTGATGGACTTTCTTCTGCTATGTTCCAACTGTGCACATTGGCCTATACTTTTGTCAGAGAACCCCAAGGGAGCAGGACCCTATTGTGTTTCTCTTTATCTTGAATATGTACAGTCACTGACTTGTACTTTTGTCGGAGAACCCTAAGGGACCATGTCAACAGGTCCCTGTTGTGTTCCTTCATGTGGTCCTGCCTGAGGTAGCCTTTGAACAGTTTACATGAACTGTGTATTCGGTGGGACAAGATTCTCTATTTGGTTCTTAACAACAAGTTTGTTAAATCATCAAAACCCAAGAAGCATAAGGTTAAGTAAAACCCATCATAGAGTTACCTAGATTGGAGTAGAGGGGTTCATCTATCACTGCATCTATTCGGGTAATATCATTCTTGAAGGCTCGACACATGGTCGAGAAGAGTTGTTTGGCTTATATGGCTTATGTTCAAGATACTGTTGCAAAGACTCCCACGATTGTTTCAGTACCCGTGGTGCAGTAGTTGTCCGATGTGTTTCCTTCTAATTTACCAGGTATGCCACTAGATCGTGATATCGATTTCAATATTGATTTAGTGCCAGGTACCCAGCCTATCTCTATTCCACTGTACCGCATGGATCAAAAAGAGTTGAAAGAATTAAAGGAACAGCTTGAGGAGTTGCTAGTGAAGGGGTACATCAGGACGAGTGTGTCGCCTTAGGGTGCACCAATGTTGTTTGTGGAAAAAGAAGGATGGGTGTATGCGGATGTGCATTTATTACCGCCAGTTGAATAAAGTTACCATTAAGAACAAGTACCCGTTATCACATATTGATGATTTATTTGACTAGTTGCAGGATGCCAGGGTGTTCTCTAAGATCTACTTGAGATATGGGCATTATCAGCTGAAGATTCTTGCTTCAGATGTTCCGAAGACGGCTTTCCGGACTAGATATGGCCACTACGAGTTCCTAGTGATGTCTTTCGGCTTGACCAACGCCCCGTTGGCGTTTATGGATTTGGTGAACCAAGTGTTCAGGGAATATATTGACTCATTTGTCATTGTCTTTATTGATGACATATTGATCTACTCGCGTAGTATGGAGGAGAACGAGCAACATTTGAGAGTTGTGCTTCAGACCTTGCGGGAGCAAAAGCTTTATGCTAAGTTTTCCAAGTGCGAGTTCTGGTTGGATTTTTTGGCATTCTTGGGACATTTTGTATCAGGTGAGGGTATTACGGTGAATCCCAAGAAGATTGAGTCAGTTCATAGTTGGTCTCGTCCTACCACATCAATCGAGATCAAGAGTTTCTTGGGGTTATCAGGTTATTATCGTCAGTTCATGGAGAGTTTCTCATCTATTACGGCACCTTTGACTAGATTGACCTAGAAGGGTGCTCCCTTCCGATGCTCCATTGCGAGGTGAGCTTTTAGAAGCTCAAGACTGCATTAACTACAACACTGGTGTTAGTGTTGCCTTCTGGTTCAGGGATGTACATTGTGTATTGTGACGTTTCACGCATTGGCATGGGTTGTGTATTGATGCAGGAGGGGCGAGTAATCACATATGCTTCAGGTCAGCTAAAGCCCCACGAGAAGAATTACCCCTTACATGATTTGGAGTTGGCCGCGATAGTTCATTCTCTCAAGATTTGAAGGCATTATCTTTATGGGGTGTCCTGTGAAGTTTACACCAATCATTGTAGCTTGAAGCATTTGTTTAAGTAGAGGGATCTTAATTTGAGGCAGCATAGGTGGCTTGAGTAACTGAAGGACTATGATATTACCATCTTTAACCATCCGGGCAAGGCAAATGTAGTTGTAGATGCCTTGAGCAGAAATGCAAATCTGGGATACGCTCGAGTCCTAAATCACCATCTGGACCTAACGGAATCATAAAAACTCTAGTCCGGGGTCAAATACACAAAAGTCAAACTCGGTCAACTCTTCCAACTTAAAGCTTCAAACATAAAATTCATTCTTCCAAACTAATTTCGAATCAACCGTAAACCTAAACTACCGATACACACAAGTCGTAATACATTGTAAGGAGCTACTCATGCCCTCAAACCACCGAGCAAAGTGCAAATACTCAAAACGACCGATCGGGTCGTTACACTTATACTGTATCTAAGTTTGTTTTGGTTTCTATAAATCTTCTTCAACAATTAAAATGATAAGCAAATTTAATACTCCATCCGTTTCAAATTAGATGAATTACTTTCTTTTTTAGTCTGTTTCAAAATAAATGACACATTTCTAACTTTGGAAATAATTCAACTTTAAACTCTTTATTTTACCCATTTTACCCTTAATGAGAAGTTTTTATAACCACACGAATGCCATAGCCCCACAAAGCTTTTATCCTTTAAGCTTTTAAAATCACAAGTTTCAAAATTCTTTTTTTATTTCTTAAACTCTGTGCCGAGTCAAACTACCTCATCTAAATTGAAACTGAGGGAGTAAGAAATTAACCCTCTTTCAACGCAGACAAGAGACACATTATTGAATTTTCCAATTTAGTTTTGGTAGCGTATTAGTATGACTATGTTTTATAGCCTGTTTGGCCAAGCTTCTCCAATCCTAGAAGCACCTTTTTTTCAAAGTTGAATTGTTTTGCCAAGCTTTTGGAAGAAGAAAAAGTGCTTTTGAGGAGAAGCAGAAGCAGTTTTGGAGAAGCAAAAAAAAGTAGTTTCTCTCCAAAAATACTTTATTGAGAAGCACTTTTAAAAGTTTGGCCAAACACTAATTGTTGTTCAGAAGTACTCTTCAAATTAATTAGCCAAACACAAACTGCTTCTCACCAAAAGTACTTTTGAGAAAAAGCACTTCTCAAAGTAAGCTGATTTTTGCAGCATGGCCAAACAGGCTATTAAGCAGGACAACATGAGACTTGTTAGTAACTGGAACAAATGCTGAGGTGGAACAATGAGTTTAATGGGCCCCTAAAGATGTAGCAGATGAGAGAGTAATGTTGTGGGCCCACAACTTCCACATATGTCAATTCAATAAGCCTTACATAACATGTCAGTTGTTTCTTAGGTAAATATTTGTACGTGACTCTAACACCATATATTGTTAGGCATTTAAAGTCCTCAGACTTCATTTTAGGCCCCGTTTGGCCAAAATAAATTTGGAATTTATTTTCAAAACTCATGTTTGGCCATAAATTTTGCCCATATTTTGGCCAAATCCCAAATTCCAAATTTCAAATCCCAAAATCAGCTATTGAGCTGATTTTGGGGCAAAATCCCAAAACTTGGAATTATATACATGTTTTTCCAAAATAAAGTTGAAAAATATGTTTTGAAAACGTATGTCCAAACACATTTTCATCTTCAAACCAAACTTCACCCAAATCAGATTTTTTAAAACAAATTTGGGATCTATGGCCAAACGCTAGCTTAGTTACGAACAAGTCGCTAGATACGCATAGGGGCAAATAAAGGAATAAACTAAAATATCATGGTTTTTTGGTCAATTCACATTTACCGGAAGCTCCTCTATTCTCCTTTATTAATGTAGTAATAAAGTAATAAAATAAGGAATTGAATTTTGGCAGAATTTGTGCCCTTTCCCTTTCTGATCCCTTGCCCTATGCGCCAAACACCCTAAAATCCTTTTGAAAATAAATACGCCAACATATAGCACTTCAAAAAGATTAGAGAAAAATTTGGCAAAGAAAAAAAGGATAGGCCGGAAAGCAATCTCAGCTACAACCCCTCGATGACTCTCTTAGACCTGTCATATGTTTGAATGGGGTAAACAGACCCCGAAGGGGCCCCGAGTTGGTCGTCCTCGACTCTAATCTTTGATTGATACCTGTTGTGGACATCGACCCAAGTGACCGCTGGGTACTCCCTGAGCATCTCCTTATCCCTCTACTTGACCTTGAAAAGGACTGACTTATCGGCCTCGATGGCCCTGGCATGGGCCTTTATGAAATCATCCACAAGAATAGCAAACAAGTCAATAGAATTCGGAGGTAAGCTGTGATACCGTATCATTTCTCCCTTGGATAAGTTTTCCTAAAAAATTTTCAGCAACACCGAATCTATTTCATCGTCTTCCAGGTCATTCCCTTTGATTGCGCATGTATAGGAGGTCACATGCTAATTTGGATCCGTGGTCCAATTATACTTGGGAGTGTCGGGCATTCGAAACCTCTTCGGGATCGACTTATGTGTTGCACTAGGGGGAAACACTTCTGAATAAACTTTTTAGAGTCCGGCCCCTTCAATATCGGTGGCCCTCCCGGGATCAAAATCGGCCCTGGAAGTTATAAGTTTCTACCTTCTTTTCATTGGTCTCTATCTTTTTCTCGCAAGACTCCACCCGTTTTGTTAACGCTTCAAGCATCTGCATTACCTCAGAAGTTTTCCCGGGCCCAAATTCACCCAGTTTACTGGCAACTTATTCGTCTCTTTGAGTATTTTCCTGTGACTGCTCGGGCTCGGCCCTGTTAGGGGCGTGGCTCTGGTTCTGTAACTACGCCATCGCCTCTTGCTGAGCCTACAACATTTCCAAAATCAACCGCCAGCTCACCATATCACCTTCACATTCGGATGCCTGTCGAGCCACTAGTCGGGGCCCCGCGCAAATGCTATCTTCCGTATCAGTCGGTAGATTGATGTTGATGTCAACCTGTGAGTTAGCATCAATCGGGTCGACTGCTAGGACACTATTGGGATCAACTGGGGGCACGTCATTGCTAGGTATCACGTTATTGTTCTCACTGTGATAGCCTGACTCAACGTCCACGTTCAAGTGAGTAGACTGAGAATTTGACATCCTTAGGCTTATCTGGAATCAAAACATCAAAGAACAAGCGTAAAATAAGGCATGTTATGGAGATTCGTATTAAATAACCATTATTATCCTTAGCCCCAGGTGGGCGCCAAACTGTTTACCCTAAAAAATGAGTAACAATTAAATTTGTACGCGGTTTAAAGGATATGCGATTTAATTCAATATGAATGATCCGAGAATAGCAAGTAATTAAGTTAAAGATAAAATGAAGATCAAACCAATTTTAATGTGATGATCAAGCCTAATCTTGAGTTGAACATTGAATTTCGACCTCGATCGGACCCTCGATATAAGCTCGGTTGCGAGTAAAAAAAAAAGAATAACTAAAGAACACTTTGAATAATAGCAAGAAGACAAAAATGAACTTTTATTGCTTTGATTTGCGTGTCAACAATATGTTAAAATAAAAGTAACTCTCCCCTTTATATAGTAGGGGAATTGCAGTCCTAATACAAGTCTAATAAGGTAAAAATCTTCTTTTCCGGTAAATGCCGATCCGCAGTTGATATCGGCCGGGATTCGCGCTGTAATATCCGGTTGAGGGCGGATATTACGGCTCCCTACTTGTCATGCCTAATCGTTCCTCTTTTTCCTGTGGTATCGTAACCCTACTTGGTCCGGGTTCGTTATTTTACCATGCCCAATCCCAAATACATCGTTCACTCCTCCCGGGTACCTATACGAGGAGTCCCTCGGCCTCGCTTGCAGTGGTGTAGAACCATGCTTCCCTCTTGTTTCCTTATCGGGGAATCAGGGGAAACATTGCCCTCGATTTTGCCCGTGCACACTATGGTTTCACTGCTTTGACTGCTATTTTAGCTGTTAATTATTTTGATAGGTTTATTTCTGGAGTGTGTTTTCAAAAGGATAAGCCATGGATGAGTGAGCTTGTTGTTGTTGCTTGTCCTTCCATTGCTGCCAAAGTAGAGGAAATCCAAATGTCCCTTCTATTAGACCTTCAAGTATGTTGCTATGTTTCTGTTGATTAGCATATGTAATGCTGGTGTTTGTATAAATGTCAGTAATGAAGCAAAATGGATATTGAGAATTGACATTTTTGGATCCCACATAGTTTAGGATTGAGACTTAGTAATGGTAATAGATGCTTTGTAGTATTGATGATGGTTCTATTTTGTTGATTAGGTAGTGTTGAAACCTAATTTTTCCCTATATAATTTTTATACACAAAATACTTTCAAAATAGCATATATATGCATACATAAGCATACCTAAGTGTTTTGGTGGTTTTCCAAACTTTTTAAGATTTTTAAAATTAATCTATTGTCCATTTTAGCAATACAAAATTAGTAATTATTCTCAAAACTATCAATATTGGTTAATAACCTATTTTATTCTCATATTTATATATCAAAATATATTTAAGGTGATTTTTGTAAATTTTTTACAAATTTATTTGGCATTTTCTAAGCTAAATTACATGCAATTGCAATTTTAGCCTATTGTAGCATTAATAGCATTTATAATTATAAAATTGGGTCCAATATTTTTAAATTAACGTTTATACATTATTAATTGTTTCAGTATTATTAATTAGTTTTTAAAATCTTTTTTTACTATTTTTTATAAATAAAAGGGTGAAACTGGCTATTTAACGTTTAGCCCCATTTCCATTTCAATTACAACCCCATTTTTTGTTTCAGTTTTAGCCCCTAATCGACCCAATTCTGCCCAATTAAACTAGCCCAGTTCCGATTTGGACCCAACCCACGACCCAATACCAAACGACCCAACCCGTTCCACACCTACCCACTTAAATCTGGATCGTTGATCACTCGAGATCAACGGTCAGAATTCACCCTTCCTTAATTAACCTAACAACCTACCCTAATCCCCCTCATTCTCACCGGACCCGCCGCCCTGAAACCCCACAACACTCTCAAATCCTCTCAACAACTCTCCGAAACCCTAGCCTCCTCCCACCTTCTTTCACCGGAATCCATGGCTTCCCAGGCCATGGATGGGCTCTACCCACCCTCTCCACCATTAGACCTTGGGTGTTCAAGGTCTGGAAAGATGACTTCGATGTCTCTCCCTCCGATCTTCTCCGACCTTTGATTCCATGGCTTCTCCGGCCATGCTCCGGCACATTCGAGACTCAGGAGCCTGATTCTTGACCTCTCCGACTCAAGATCGGACCTGTCTCCAAGCCTTTCTCATTTCTAGGGTTTCTCCGAAACCCTAAACCATTCGAGGTTCTTTCACCGTTATTTGTTTAGATCTGTACTATGTCTATGCTTTTCTTGCCATCTAGAGTGTTTTCCCCAAAAGTATTGTCAAAAAATAGTTCCTCTCTGATTTTTAGGGTTTCTGCAAGGATTTTTGAAAAAATCTTTCTGATTCTTTTTCTTCTTTGCTTTATGTGTGTTTTTTTATGCCTTGTTCGTATGATTTTTTTATGCATGTATTGTCTTTTACCTCTTCTTTTCTACTCCTGTTAATCTCTGCTATGTTTTCACTACTCTTCTGTTATATGTGCCTACCGTTAAAGTTATTTGATTTTGTGACTCTGTTTATGTCCTTACATGCTTCACCTACTTGTGTTCAAGTTGTATTATTTCCTTCTTCTGAACGCGTTTAGGTTCTGAGTTTCCTCAAGAATGTTCTTCATAATTTTTTCTTCCTTTGTCGTTCAAGCATGCTCTCATATCTGTTGTGTTGAGACTCTGAAACAAATGGCTTATTTTCTCACCTCCATGTCTGAGTCAATCGTGAAACCCTAGGATTTGGGGTTTTCCTTTTGACAATTTATGTTTTGTGTTCGAGTCAGGGTTCCACATTGGGACCCTGGACTCTCAGACTCACTATGAGTCTGCAGGTCGAACCTGTATCTTTTGCCCATGTTTCTGGACTTCTCTTTGATTAAAATTCTCTTTCAAATAACTTGACAGTCTCTTCTTGATTTACATGTTTGTGTGTTTATATATGAGAACTCTTCTTTCAAAAAAGGCTTTGCCAACTACTGATTGATTCCGGATTCCTTTAATTGTGTTCACTTGATTGTTACTGGTTTTCCTTAATTGAACCTTTCTTTACCCCTTTTTCTTGACTTGATTCATTCGAGTAAAGGTCTAAATTTTTAATTTTTACCGTTTGATTCCCTTTACCTTTTTTACAAATCGTGTACTATTGGTTTGTTGCCTTAAATAGCTTCTCTGTACTTAACCTTTATTATACTACTAGAAAAATATTTTTTTAAAATCCCTTTCCATAATTGTTTTGCCCATTTGAAATTAGAATCCCTTAACTAAAGGGAGACTGATCACAATGATATTTCCTTACCTTTTTCTTGCTTATTTGCTACACTATAAAAAGGGCTCGACCCTTCTGCATTGACACAGGCTTTTAGTTTTAAGCTTTGAAAACTCTACAACTCTAGAACTTTGAATTTCCAATCACAATACCTTTTTCGAACTCTCTACTCTCTGCTGAGACTTTTTGTACTGCTTTGCAATTTGGCTTTTCAAGGATGCTGTTTTACTTACCTGTTTTCCCTAAAACTGGTATGTCCCAATTTAAATTTAGCTCCTTCCCTATGTGTTTGCTTTACAGTTGCCATGTTCTGGTTTACTTTGTTGTTTATACTCTGTATTAAGCATGTTTTTTCTTTTATGTTTACTGCTTGCTATAAAATCCCCATACCCCCATTCCCCTATGTGTGCTGAGTTAAAGTTAATGGCCTGGGAGCATCCAAATTGCTGCCTAGGTCTGAACCTGACCTTCAATAGGTCCTAACTCCCAAACTCAAGCTGACAGGCTGGTCAGGGGTGTGCCAGCATCCTAATTGTTGGGCATGACCACTAGTTTTGTCATGGCTTTCCCTAATTTCCCCTCTATTGCACTTACACTTATTCTTAGATTCTAAGTTCTTCTCCCCTCCTATGAGCCTTGCCTTGGGGACCTTGAGTTCCCTCTGAACTTGGACATTTGAGGGCTGGCCCTTCCACACTGCACTTTAATCTGATCCTGCAAATGTAATTGGGTGTGAGCACTGCCTGGAGTTCATGAAGCTCCTTGGAACTTTGACACACCCAAAGGATGAGAAAGGCTTTGGAAATCTGATCTTTGGAAGTTGGTTTATCTCATGTTTCAGACTAGGAGTCTGAATTAGGCTCTCCTTGGTTGGAACTTTAATTTCTGATGTAATTTTTTATTTTTCTTGATTCATTTGGGTTGTAATAATTTATAATAACTTATGGGGGTGTATAGTGAAAAGGGGAGGGTCACATATGTTATGCATGTGGGTAGACATCATGCTTTAGGTATTTATTTCTACAATCACAGCCTGTTTTTCGCTTATGCATCTACATATAGAAATCCTGCCTATAAGTTTATGCATCCACATATAGAAATCCTGCCTATAAGTTGCTTCATTACCGCATTAGAAATCCTGTCTATAAGTTATGTATTTCATTAGAAATCATGTCTATAAGTTTCTGCACTTCTGCATATAGAAATCATGATTATAAGTTTTCTGCACTTCTGCACATACACATGTCATTAGGCAAACAATCCACAGGTTAAAGAATAATAAACTGCATCCTAGATACCATGCTCATAGGATTCCTGCACTTACATAACCGTTTTAAAATCAATAACGCTTAGAATTCATGCCTGTAGGAGCAATCGTTTAAATCTGATTCATCCGTGTTGACATGTGATTTTTGACCCTCCCCGAAATTTTACCCATTTTAGCATGTAAATATTTAGTTTAGGTCTAATATCGCCATTTCAACTAATTTTTACTTTATTTTATTACAAGAAATATAAAAATTCAAAAAATAAGGTTATTAATATTTATAGTCATTTTTAGTGCATTTTCCAATCTATTAAAAAAAAAATTACAAAATAGTACCCTATCTTTATTTTATAATCTTGAAAACACACAAAAAAAAAAATAGTTTTATGTTTTATAGTTATAGTTCAATTAATTAAATTAATTTTATATTTTTATATTATAATTATACATAATTTTG